AAAGAATCTCTTTCACTTTGAGAGAGAGAGAGAGAGAGATCTTAAGATTAACTAAGAAAGATGTCTCTTTTACTTTAAGGGATATCTCTTTAACTTGGAAAGATATCTCCAAAAAGTAAAAGAGACATCTCTCTAGGTGAAAAAGATATCTCTTTAACGTTCAGAGATATCTCTTTTCACGAAAGAGATATCTCCCAAGGAGAAAAAGATATCTGTTCAAGAGGAAGAGATATCTCTCTAAGTATAAGAGCTATCTCCCTATGTTTAAGAGATATCTCTTTCTCAATGAGATATAACTTGAAATTGAGAGATATCTCTCTAAGTTGGAAGATATCTCTACTTTTGAGAGATATCTTCCTAAAATGAGAGAAATGTCTGTAATTTTGAGATAAATTTTATTTTCCGAATAAATAGCAAAAGGACTTGCCATAGAAAAGTGTTACAAAACTACATGAATCTTACAATGACCATTTAGGATCATTGGAGTTACTGTTCCTTGGTCACCAATTGTGAGGTAGCAGTTTATGAAAAACAACTTAGAATGCGCAAAGATGCAACAAAAAAGTGAATAGATGATTAAATGCTACTACATATATCATAAAATTATTACAGGGTTGAAAAAGTAATAAGGAAAACTCCAAATAAATATATTTGTACATATTCAGAGAAGAGCGTACTTTTCCTTAAAAAACATAGGTGCTCAATACTAGTAAGTAATAAAATATTAGTAATTGTTTTGTCGTCATTAAGAAATGACAATATTTATCAATGATGTCTTGTAGTGTTTTATGGAGGTAAAAATTAACAAAGCTGCAGGACCAACAGGGTACTGGTTTTCACACATTCTATAATACAGGCATTTGTCTAGCATAAGATTAATGGAGGCATAAAAGATTTCTTCTACCTAGCTGTATTAAGGCCTATCTGAATAATAAGAAAATACTCATTTAAAGATATGATTTAGAATGATCATTTTATAAGTGTAACATTAATACTGCTTTAAGATAGTATGGGTTCATGTATATGTAGGCAATAAGCATACTATAATAGATCAAATATACTATATGTACACCGCTATCTTACATCTAAATTCCCTACTTAACACAAACTTATTAAAGGTTTACATAACGTTTTAATCCATGAAGAATGAATTCACAAGCACCAGACCACAGATCTTACAGTTTAAATAGTCTAAAACAAGGACTCTTTGCTATTTTCAATAAAGCACTTTATAGTCTTACATAGCCGCATTTTGATTTAAGTCTGTCAGTGTGAAACGTTATATTTCTGTTCATTGATGTTAGAGAACAATGGACAGTTATTCAGGGTGCCGTGTAGTAACCATTTATAATTAAAAAAATCTACTTATAAACTAGAGGTACTGTGAGCAATCAGCTCACTAAATGATACCCCCCGCCTCCCATATGGTTATATGCTGTGGCCGGGAAACCCAAAATATATGTCGGATCAAAAAGTAAAATAGGAGGTGCACAATGGCAATATGTAATAAAGATTCTGTGAAAGTTTCATTAAATTTCACTCAGTGGTATAAGAGGAGTTCCGGATAAGAGATGGGTACCCCAAAGCGTAACAGACAGACGGACGGACGGACATACCGATTACAGTATACCCTCCCACTTTCCAAGCGGGGGGTATAAAAATACTGAATTAATAAAAACGTATTTGTTCTCCAATGATAAAATGGTATCAACAGTTATGCGACGTCTTTACCACTAATGATAGAATCGTATCAACAGTGGTACGCCGTCGCTACCACTAATGATAAAATTGTATCGACAGTGGTGTGCCGTCGTTACCACTAATGATTTTAAAAGTCGTATCAATAGCGGTGCGCTGTCGTTGATACTCCTGATAAAACGTTTCCTACTCACAACATTTATTAAAGGTTAGAAATAATATTACAGACTGAATTTCAAAACAATGAAATAAACTTCACAAAACGCTTTTTTTTAACATGTTTTTGTCCTCTGGTCCATAGTCTTCGGCAAATCAGCAAACCTTATGTGCAAGAATTCAAAAAGTATTCTCCAGTTAGTTGGGCACATAAATTTAAAAATTCTCTCAATAAACTACTCCATACCTCTTGTGGAAGTAAGGTTTATCAATGGCTTACTGGTTCCAAAAGCATTGCGTTTTTCCTCAAACTTTATAGTATGGAACGGGTGTGTCAGAACCAGGTTTTTATATATTATATAGTTGTTCAAGACTGGCTGTTACTGTTGGACCTTTTAAAAGCACAAAGAACAGCCCTTTTTTAAAGTACTGTGTTCACCCTATTGTACGCCGGCACAGTGGTTAGAGCGTATGCTGTAGAGTCGAGAAGTAAGGACTTGATCCTTACGTCGCGGGTGCGAATCCCACTGTGGGACATGGAGACCAGTTCTTCGAATGAGACCGTATAAACCGAGGTCCCGTGTCGCAGTAGGTGCTGGCACGAAAAAGATCCCTTGTGCTCAATGGCCCTAAGTGCCGAGTATAGGACAAAATTTAAAGCTCTCCATCGGCAAATGGTGGCGTCTCCTTATGAGTGAAAAGTTATCGAAAGGGACGTTAAACACCATACAAGCAAACGAACCTCATCTGAAATATTTTTAGCTGAATTAATTTGACTTGCCTGCACTAATATGATGGACACAGTGGTACTGCGGGGCCTTCACATAGTCCCTTTACATTTGTAAGGCAATAGCATATATACTAGTATTAATTTAAAGAATTTATTTCATGTGGAAAACTTTGTTGCTGTCATTTGAGTTGGGTTGAATAGAACATAATCTAGATCGGGATCGGAATTTCTCAAATTCCCTCTCTTTGCCTTGGATCCTAAAACGAAAGGTGCGCAAAGTTTGTAGCAGACAGAATTTTGGGGGGGAAATACTTTCAATCACATTGTTTCTAAACTAGTCTAACAAAATATTAATAATATATTCTGGACAAATATCTGATTTGATTATTAGAGGCATGGCTGGATTATTCTTTCTCAGAGATATACTCGATTGGCTTGGATTGAAAATTGTCCAAGTCAGGATACATGTGTTGTTTCTACTGAAACTTTTATAAAAATCAGTGGCTACTATTTTTTAGAGCCTTTATTCAATTGAACTTGGCCAATAATCGGTAAATCAAAATAAACGTGTTTAAAATCATGTTTGTTTTATTTTCCTCTTTATAATTTATTATTTTTTTTTAGAACTGCCTTCGTAGGGTAAATTATCCGATGGACCGAATATAATACATGTAAATTTAAAATTCAATGCGAATACATAATGATTTGACAAGATGCATAAACGTTTGTCTTACGAATGTCAAAATGTACACGCGCAACTGATGTTTCGCAAGGACCTGCAAGAATCTTGTGACATGCCAAATAATATACCACCAGATACGAAGTTTTGCCGAAGCTTGATAAAATCAAATGGCAATCACACGATTGATTAAGATGTCCTCACGAGTCTACCGATATATGGTTCGATTAAATACGAACTGGAATGGGAACTTTCCTCTACTGCATGTGTCCCAGCATATCATCATAGGCTTGGACATAATATTTAAGCGTTCAGATTTAATAGCTAAGCGACTGAGTTTAAAAAAAAAAATGCAAATTTGGATTTCAATAACATTTTGGCAGTTTTTGCCTTTTTAAGGACGATAAATTTAATCTTCGTGAAGCGACAAAATCTCCTGTTTTGCTTCATCACTTATGATATTCTTTCAAACTTTTTCAAAATATCACGTTTGAAATTTTCACAAACTGTGACAAAGTATTTCACCGTTGAAAATTTTATATATGTGTAGAAATGTATAATGAAAGGTGTGTAAACTGTCAGAGTTATTTTTAAAAATGACAGTTTTTTTTTTTAGGAAAAAAGATAATTTTTTTTACTTGATATTCATTGAATGGATGATTAAAAAATTTGTCAGAAGTGGGATTCGAACCCACGCCCACATTCGTGGACCAGAACACTCAGAAATCACGATTTGTGATCGAAGAGTTATAGCTTTTGAGTCTGGCGCCTTAGACCGCTCGGCCATCCTGACATTGTACATGCACCCACATTTAGTTGAATGCAGATTTTATTGATACATGCAAATTTATGACATTTAACGAAACCTTTTGAAATTTACCTCATGATTTCATTTAAAAATAAACCTGATTTGAGTAATTATTGCTATTCCTTGACGCCTATCATTGAATTGGTGTGTTTTCCAGTTGTTCAACACTTTTAGCACATCTGAGCTGAAAGCTCATGTGAGCTTTTCTGATAACTCGTTGTCCGTCTGTAAACTTTTTCACATTTTCAACATCTTTTAAGAACCACTTGGCAAATTACAATGAAATATGGTACAAAGCATCTTTGAATGAAGTGAAGTTTCATTCGCTAAAATGAAGGACCAAATCTCATTACAAGGGAAGATAATCAAGAAATGACAAAAAATAGGGTAGGGCCATTAAAAAGACTTCTTCTGAAGAACCACTGGGCCATAGAAGCTGAAACTTAGTTGGTAGTATCCTGGGGTAGTGTAGATTCAAAATTGTTCAAGTTTTGACCCCGTGTATAGGGCGGTCACATCTAAGTTTTACACTGAAAATGAAAAACATTGAAGCTATTTTTGAAAATCTTCTTTCAAGAACTACTGAACCGGGAAAGCTGAGACTTTCATGGAAGCATATGGTGTTGTGTATATTTTATATTATTATAATCATATGTCTGATGACCCCAGGAGGTAGGGTGGGGCCACAACAGGGAATCCAAGTTTTACACTGAATTATATAGGAAATTTTTTTTGAAAATCTTCTCAAGAATCACTGAGCCACGCCGGAAAGATGAAATTTATGTGGAAGCATCCTGGGGGTAGTTTAGATTTTAAATTGTTCAAATCATGACCCCGGGGGTAGAACAGGGCTGCAATTATTGTCTATTACTAAGCGTAATAAACAATGTTCATGCATTATTAAATTATTTCACGATTGTATCTAGATGTATTCATATTTATTAAATATGTTAGAATATTATAATATGGAATGCGATTGCTGTAGGTCCTTGTTCAAATAATTTTGGCACATTGAGTAAACTGTTCCATCAGTGTAGGTTAGGTGTCATCTGCCTCTTCCTCTGATCCTGCTGACGAGGAACTGTCTGTCAAGTCCTTTAAATCCGTTTTCAAGTCGCTCATTTCTCTGAAATAGTATTCATATAATATATTTATAAACTAAAAACCTTTCAAACACTTTCTAAAAATATATACATTGAATATAGTCTCCTTTACTTGTTATCAAAACACACATCCTCGATTTGCCAGAGTCATCACATTGCGTTGGACCCCTGGGGTCCACATGTTGACTCAGTAACTGTGGCTTGCGAGGATGCAAAACTCATTGCCATTATCAATCCATTAGCATTAAACATTTTTAAACTGGTTAAATCTAGGTTTTATATCGTCTCCTTACGAGTGAAAAATTCTCAAGAGGGACGTAAAACAATACAAACAAAAAACCCCACTCCCGTTTTTGTAACTTGAATTAAAGCGATCTAGAGGCATGTGCTAAAGCCACAGGTGCTTGTTTCATACAGTAACTTTAGTTTTCTACTACATTTTATATAGTAGAAAACTAAACTTACTGTATGAATTAAACAAGCGCCTGTGGTTCAAGCTTATAATATCTCGTGAAACATTTCAACAGATCGCGAATTTGACTTAGCCGACACCGTAGTGCCATCTAGTTGTCATAGCAATATATACATGTTAATACAAGGGCTACACTTAATTTGGTATTGCGAGACCTTAACGTAGTAGCGCTGTCTTTCTAAGACAAAGGGAAACAATCGGAATCCTTCTGTTTTCGTAAGGCGAAGATAAATTTAATAAGAATACACCACGATATGCAATATGCTCAAATGATGGTGCTACGAATGGTAAAATGAACAAACGCATTCAAAGTTTTAAAAATGGATGCTTCGCACTCAACTTCGAAATTTGTTGGCATGCCAAAGATTTTGCCACCGCTTACAAAGCTGCTGTTGGAGCCTGAAAAATCAACTGGAAATCATACGATTGATCAAGATGTCCCCATGAATTCCTCGATGATTTAACAATCAGATCCAAATATGAATAGTCTTGAATTTTCCTTTATTGTGTCTCCCTCAGAAGTCAGTGTTGGGACAGTGCGATACAAGCTATACCCAGTCATTGGGTGAGTATCACAGTTGAGCATTTGAGACTAAAAGGTTAACGACGGTGATTAAAAAAATTGTAAATATGGATTTAAACTACATATAAGAAACAATTTTGTAAATCCCAGTCAGGATGATTCATTTAATTAAGAGTTTAATTGCAATCTTGATATTTTTAAAATATCACTATGATATTCTCTCACTATTCAATAAAAAAAGGGTCATTCGCATGGCACAGTGGTTAGAGCGTCTACTCTATAGTCTCAAAGTAAGGAGTTGAACGTTAACAGGGATAGACATTAACTTTTATATTCACTTGTCCTTCGGGCAAGTTCATTAACGTAAGTTCATTATAAGTTGTACGTCAGACGGAGAGCGTATTTTTTGTTAACTACGAAAGAAAACAATAACAAGCCCGATTTTTTAAATAAAAGTACAGGTATGATCCAGAAACGCTACCGAGGGATTCCAAATGCAAAAACGATGTCCCGTTTTTGGCGGAAATCAACTGTTCAATTTATTGTTTTGTTTATAAACTAGTGTAAGATTAAAAAAAATGTTTCTATCAGAAATATCCACTTGCCCGATCGGACAAGTACTTCGATAATTTCACTTGTAACTAATGATTTACTTGTCCCGGGCAATCGGACAACCGTTAATGTCGATCCCTGGTTAAGTTACGTCCTTCGAACGAGACCGTATAAACCGAGGTTCCGTGCAACAGTAGGTGCTGGCACGAAAAAGATCCCTCACTGCTCAGTGCTCAATGGCCCTGAGTGCCAAGTATAGAACAGAATTTACAGTTCTTCACCGGCAAGTGGTGGTGTCTCCATATGAGTAAGAAATTCTCGAAAGGGATGTTAAATAACAAATAATTAAAAAAAGTACTTCACTTTTGAAATCATAGGTGTATAATTGAAGTGTGAAGAGATACAAAATTAAATATGAATCATTTTATTGTAGAAAGAGACATGATTTGATTTTTGCTCAAACAAGCATAAAAAGGTTGGATTTTTAAAATAAAAAAAAAAGTTTGTCAGAAGTGGGATTCGAACCCACGCCCACATTCGTGGACCAGAACACTCGCAAATCACGTTTTGTGATTGAAGAGTTATAGCTCTTGAGTCTGGCGCCTTAGACCGCTCGGCCATCCTGACATACATACACTAATTTATATGACTGAAACTTTTTGTTGATGATATATGATTTAAAGTGAATAATATAAATGAACGGTACCTAATGATTATGATTACATGGACTGATTGATTTGTTCCAGTGATTATTACCTTAGCACTAGCAAAACCTGGATTTTCCCTAATATATGAATGTTTACGAGTTTTAGTTTATGAGTTTTATAACATCTTGTAACCTTTTTATAATCCTCTGTACCTTTTTACTTGATTGTTTTGGTGCTTAAGCATTTTGGTGGGCATTCTGAATGGAATAAATATCTAATATAAACGAAATTTCTTGCTCTAATTCCAGAAGAGTTTGAATCAAGTTAGACCGACGATCTGAGCTCCATCTCGTCGTGTACGCCGCCTGAATTCGGTTTTTTTTTATTCATTCTAAAGAAATATCCAAAGTGAATTTTGAATAAATAGGTCATCCTTTAAGTGTTTGACTTTTACTTTTTTATTTGCTTTACGAACCGTTTTTAACACACTTACAAACATACTTCATACTCAGTCATCAATAACTAAAAAAAAATGTACTTTGAAAATTTTATAAAAGTAAAAGATTTAGCCTAAAATTTAAAAGTACTTACTTTGACAATAAAATTGTGTCTGGAACTGTTTTAGGACGCTCCGTTTTCCGTGAAGAGTTAGACATTGGTCTTTCTATGGTTTGCACAGATCTTTGGGAAACTGGACGTGACGTGTTGGACATAGGTCTGTCCATGGCTTGCACAGACGTGCTTGAAACCGGACGTGACGTGTTGGACGCTGGTCTAGATCTCGCATTGGACATTTTGGAGGCCGGCCGAGATGTTGATTTTCCTGTCTTGCTCCCAAACGGTAATTCAACGCCAACTTTTTGTATTCTCTGTAGATATTTCTTTTCTCCAAGTTTCAATTCCCTTTATAGACAAAAGCCCCTTATATAAAATAGTTAAGTATTAGGGCTGAGTATCATATAAAATATTTCTTCCTTCATGAGTATTTTCTTCCTTCAAAGTAATTGATTCTCTTGAATCAAATGTGGTTTAAATTAACCGAAGTATTGGATTGATGGATTTTTTTTTAAAAGTTATTAAAGTTAAACCGATGAACAGACAATCACAACAAAACCAGAACAAAAAAATCCGACTAAAAGAAAACTTTTTTTGACACAGTTGTTATCGAACTCCCCCCCCCCCCCCCAAAAAAAAAAATTTCGATAACGCATTTCTTATATTTCAATTACATGTATATTTAAATTACTTTTGCCTCTTGGTTATGATAAACGGGGGTTAATTATATAAGTATAATAAATATACAATTTTTAAGAGATACCCGAAATCAATCTCGCCATCTCCATCAACATCTAGTTTATCTACAAGTTCTTGTATCTGGGTATCTGTCATCGGAATTCCTGCTTTCTACAAAAACAAAGGTTGAAACTCAGATTCAAGACAATATGTTTATAGCGAAAACTCCTAATATCAAACAAGACAATGACACAATACCCTGATTCCAGCGACGAATTCACTGTCACTGATGGTCATGTTCCTGTCTGTATCAAACTGGAAGAAAAGGTCGGCGAGTCGAAGCTTTCGGTCGTGAACGTATTGTAATAATCTCATCATAGGGTCATTTAGGACGTGCTCCATTCTCTGTTCCATAGAGTGATGGAGAACATCCGAGGCGTTCACATATCCGCCATGTTTGACCCGGAACTCTGGTTTGGCTTCGTGGATTTTCATTAAAATGGGTAAAAACTGACGAGGAACACACATATCCTACATTCAAAAAGTGAAAAAAGTTTCTTTTAAAATGAAATACTTATTAAGAAAGTATCAATAACTTTTTTCGAAATTTGAATGTTTTATATTTGCACAGTACATCATAACCTATAGAATTTTCCGCTTTATCTTGTTTATAAAATAAACTTGTATAATTGTAAAAAGTGTAACCTTAGTCTCTACTTAGCCTTAATTTAGCCTTAATAAACTTGTTTTAATACGGATACGTTTACCCTAAACTCTATGGATTCCAGTCCACATTCAGGATGTTCCAATATTATTTGAACTGCAATAACTGGTCCTTCAAATGTTATAGGATTTCGAGTCACCTATTATAAGCAATATAATTCATTAAAATGACAGACTTCTAAATAACACTATCATTTCACGAAATGTATCATATATTTTAAAATCTTACATTTAACGACTTTATTGATTTATTATTTGATATGGCCTTTAAAACTAGCCCAAGTCCTTTCTGTCCAATTCTATTGGCTGATAAATTTAAATTAATCATGATGTCATTAATTGATGTCGCGGCAGCGATCATTTCTGACCCATGATCTTCAAGTCCATTCCACGATATGTCTAAAGACTTCAGGCACGTGTTTTCCTAGAAGACAAAAATGAAAATACTTTGTGCAAGTAAGCAACGTGATAATTTCATATAACCGAAATACTTGTGTTTCGAACAATTTGACTTAAAAAAACAAGTTTACCTCGAGTCCTTTAGCTATTGCCTTAGCTCCATTGACACCAAATCCATTCCAGCTTATGTTAAGTGTTTCAATTGTGTCATTGTTACCTGAAATAAACATAGGAATTCATCTTTTTGATATATTTTTTGAATTGTCATTAGATTTAAAAATTCACATGGCGGCTGTATCTAGTATTCCATTCAAGGCCTTGGTAAATGAGAAAAAAAGATTTCAGGCAACCAGTCTGTCCAATATTTTAATACATACATGGACTCGACATTACATTATTCATGATCCGTTCACGGCATTCAGCGAAATTTACGCTACCGATTTATTTTCGCCCCTTTAACTCTCTCCACAGTAGGTAAATTTAAAAAAAAAAAGGGGGGGCGAATTAGAGAAGGACAACTAAGTGATCGGGCGAATTTAAATTAAGACAAAATTGTTTGCAACTGTGAAGACTGTATACAGTACATATAATCATCGACAGTGATCTTACCTATTGCTTCACCTATAAGCTTTCCACCATATTCTCCAAAATTATTGTTAGAAATATCGAGTTCCTTCAAAGTACACCTCTACAAAATTAAGCAATAGTGGATTTCTCAAGTTCGTCAAATTATTAACATCTAATTTGTACAATATAATTTATAAACAATAGCCAGATGCAGATAACAAATTCAGGATCATTACAGATAAACAACAACAAGAACAAAAAAGAAGCTCAGATGTACGTACATAATATGACATCATTGTGTAAAATGAATGGGCATCTGTAGGTTTAAAATTGTTCCCTGTAAAAAAAATTCGAAAACATTTACTTTTATGAAATAAAATGCATTGATACAAGTCCTAAATAAAACACGTTAATGATTCGAAAACCCGGGTATCAACTTGCAAAAATGCAAATACCGGTATAAAAATATCGAATCTGCGAAACATTCGTTCAATGGTTTATGTTCATCAATATTTAATAAATCGAGTAATTAAGACCCTAAATATTATCAATGAATTTGATTTAATATCATTTGTGTAAAAAAATCGACGGATATGTTTATTATTGAGATAAATTATTCATAATTAGATTCTTTTTCCGAGTACGTGCATTGAAGCTGAGATTTTCTTTATATTTAACATTGAATCTATATAGGTTACCTGAGACATTAACAGACAAAATTGCATCATTCTCGTTTAACATTTCACACAATAACCCGGCACCATCAGATTGCATGTTATTCTCAGCTAGGTTCTGTAAAATAAAATCTTGATTTACAGCTCCAACAAAATGTGTTTGTGAAGCAGGATGTTTCCAAGTGACAGCTCATGGCCAAAATTAAAGTTTCAATGTAAATCAATCTTTAAGGAAAGAAATTTTTTAATCAAAGAAATGTCTTGCCATAAGGAATATTAAAGGTCTTGCACCAATCATACAGAAATTATACTAGAAGTCAAAATTAAAAGGTTTTTTTTTCAAAAGGAGCTACAGGACATTCTCTGAGTTCAACGTTCTGAGACAAGGAACTTTGCCACCAAAGGGAGAAATTCTTACAAGGAATATGAAGAATATGAAAGCCTTTGCACCAGCTATTCTAAAGTTATGACTCAGGTTAAGATTTTTCAAAAGTATGCCGTACTCCAAGCTCACATCATGATATGGAACTATTTGTATTTTACGAAAGGCAAAGTCACAAAGAATGCATCCCTGAAATGTGAAAGCCAAATCACCTACAATTCGAAAGTTATGGCTGAGATTAAAGTTTTTTTTTAAAGAACTTTAAACTCCCAAGGTCAAAAATCAAATGATCAAACGTGATGGTATACAAAGAAAAGTCTTCTTATAAGGGAAATGCAAGTAATTGATAAAACAAAAGGACACGCACCTCTTTAAAAGTAATCACCACTGAAGGTTAATTTTTTCAGAAATAGGTTTAACTTCAAGTTCAGTGACAGAAGGTTAAATTATTGGTACCAAAGGTGCCTCACTCCTCAAGGCCTTGTCACAAGGAATAAGGCCGTCAAAAGTTATGTAATAGTTACATGATGACACGAGATGATGCATACAAAATATCGTTGAGTTATTGCACGCGAGGAGGCGTTAGCCTCCGAGTTTGCAATAACGAAACGATATTTTGTATGCATCATCGAGCTGTCAATCATGTAACTGATTTATCCCATGACCCTTCATTTGATTTTCCCATATTTGGTATTTTCTTTACATCAACTAATAAAGACACTGAAACAGAACCACGTGATAGTCTTAACGCGAAGGGTTTTTTGGTATCCAAGTAACGGATTTACAAATTTGGTAATTTTCATAGTACTGTAACACGTGATCACTTTCTTGAGGTAATCAATTCATTTGTTCTATGATCTGGCGAAAATGGCAGAAGGGGTTCAGCGTAAAGAATCGTCGTTTTTCATAGGATAATTTTCAATCGAGTCAAGCACACACCCATGGGGCCAGGACTTTATGAATTTCGATTTACAGTTTCCGGGATTGAAACGTTTTAAATGGACTGAAAATACCAAAAACATGTGTCGGCCATTGAAATAAGTGCGCTTAAAAAATCAAGAAAGTAAATTCAATTTTGGGCAGTCAACATGGTTCAAGTGTTCAACGACTGGAAATCTCAGCAAAACAGCAACTTGGTGAGTTTAAAACCATTCCCGAAATACTCGCTAGTTGTGTACTTTATATATCACGTTTTGTACACTGTAATTGAAGCCAGGTGCGCATATGGTTTCCCCTACCCCGAGGACTTTATATCCGATTTGTTCCGATATTCTACGGTACATGAGAGCAAGGTGTTCATTATATGAACTTTTCAGAGGATGCCGGGAAGGAAAATGCTACTATTGAATGTGCGAATTTCTATCATGGGAGATGAAGTTATCCGCTTCGAGAATTATGCTCCGCCTGACAGTGTCGATGTATTTTTTGTAAAGATTTGTGCATTTTGATTTAAACTGTGTTATCTGTTTTGTTTTGTTTTTCTCTTGTTTTTGTTAGTTCATGAAAATCTAGTTCTAAACGAATTTTTGTCTCATTTGCATAGCTCCTCCTACATCATGAGTATAACCGTTGGATATCACTAGCTTTATATCACATATGTGATATTTAATATATCACCACACTTATGTTGATATGAGAAATACACCCTTGCGAAGATCAAAGAAAAATTTGTCGGTCATGGGATAAGGCCAAGTTAAAAGTTTTTCTGGACAAACAGACAGCTGGAGAGAGAAAGAGAGAGAGATGTACGCGCAAACAGACCAAATACAAGACACCCAGAATCTTCAATGAATGGACCTATAAACGCTAAATGCTTTTGTCCCATTTGTAATAAATTATATATTTCTGCTAAACAAAAATGTGAATAGTTTACCACTACTGCTATATTTTCGTTTTCTCGGAGCATGTCTAGGATATATTTGGTTCCCGTGTGTCCCATATTGTTCCCTGACATGTGAAGTTCAGACACCGTCTCACATAACTACAATAACAACAAAATGCCAAGTGTGCTTAAATGATATCGGTAAAATCTTCAAACATAGAAATACATAAATACAATTTTGAAACGAAAGAGGCAATGCATTAATTTTGCAAATTAACTTACAACCAAGCCTAATGCCACAGCTTTGGCGCCATCTGGTCCCAGATTTTGATGATTCAGGTTCACGACCCCTGACGTCATTCCCCTGAGGCAGGAGGAAGATGGAGTCAAGTTGAATTTTTGACACGCTTTTGTGTAAATTACACGTGGACGTTCCTCTAAAGGCACCGTATAGCATTTAGGGTATTCTAAAGCAAAGACACACCCAAGTTTGAACTTTGAAACAAACGAAAAATCTAATAATATATATATAAAGAAACCAAAATGGTGTAATGCATCTATGACTTCAAATTTTCTAGAACAATTTATGACAAGCATGTAATGAATTTGCTAGAAGGAGATTCTTGAATTATTGAATCTTGGCAAATTTACGACTACAAAATCCCATTTCATATAACAAGAAGTACCTTCGACCGAAAGACGGAAATCCTTGACAACATTTACATCGTGTGTCTACAAAAACCTAGTGAACAAAGTTACAGAATGGATGACACAATAAGGGTTTCCTAAGAATCCAGCACTGTGTTAGTAAAATGATTGTTTACAGGCCCGTAGAACCGTACAAGGCAAGGGGCTCGGGATCTTTTTCAGGGTATAGTAGTTTGCTTTGGTAATTTTTTCTTTAGATACAAGTTGCGTCCCCCTTGTTTACTGTTAGATCAAGCACTGGTAAATCCCACGATTTTGACAGTTAAATATGTGTTTCTGCTTGTCAGATTTTTTTAGGGGGATGGGGGTTTGGTCCTCCCACTTTTGAAACCGTTGCTACGGGCCTGTGATTCTTGAAAACCAAAAAAACCCCGAATCTAAAAGGTACATCCACTACTCGCCCTTGTGACAAAGAAACCAAAATACTAGAAAAACAAATATTAATTCGTGGTTTGTGTCTAGATCTTCTATTATACAATCTGTCACCATTACCGTTCCTTTTATCTTTGTCTGCTTGCTTTCTCCGGATTAATGCCCCTGTATTTAAAACTTAATTAAGTCTAATGGATGTTTCACAGCAATAATACTCCCACAGAATGTCAAACTTAACTTGCTAAATAACAGAAAAATTAAAACAAAATGCTTTGGAAATGCTTTAATCTAAATGATAAAATTATCGTTGTCAGCAACATGATGCATTGAGAAAATATCCACAATTTTTGTTGAGGGTAATACCGTAAATACTAGTACTTCGATTGGATTTATTGACAATCTTAAACTGAGTTTGATAGAAAACTCGTGAGAATGTCTTAACAGTTATCAAAATTCCGCGTATATGTCGTTGTCGACCTAAATTAAACATTACAAATACCTGGTATACGTTTTAAAGCATGTATTTAACAAGTCTGTCAATATATTCTGTCACTGATATCGACAGCTTTTAAATAACAAGGCCCTCTACAAGCTTCCCTACCGGTTTTCATATTTCAAATTAAAAAAAAAAAGGATCGAGGCTATAGTAAAACATTGAAGTATATAATTAAATTCTGCTTACACAATGTTACTTTCCTTCTCTGTATCAGAGAATTAAGAAATATCCGCATTCTTTTTGGTTTATTAATTTTCAAGCGTTTTCTTCTTCCGTAACATTATCAGCTTTTTAAAAAAATTGACAAGGACGATTAGATTCATTAACGTAAAAACCATTGTTTCTTGATTACTTTAAAAGTTACCTGAATTGCATAGAATATTTTTTGGCAAGTGCTGTGGCAAAATTTGAGAAACAATCATATTTTTGACACGTAATTCTACATTGAATTCTGTGAATACAAAGCAACAAATGTTCTGATTCCAATGCTTAACCAATTAACATGCCAGAAATAGTTCTACATTGTGTATAATTTCTATAATAGAAACATTGATTTGCCAATTACATTTCTGTAAAGGAAAATGGGAAGCAATTAAATTCACAAGTAACTAATTTGTGTCAATATTGTTGATGATATTTGCATAAATGAAACCAGTGTCTGTTTAATTTTAGAAGCAATTTGAAAACATTACCTTACTTTTTATAAATTTCCAAAATCCTAAGTTCACTAAGTGATGTTGAATTTTTTTTGGTACCGTTTTTAAAACAGTCACCACTATTAAACACAATAATTAAGACCTACTTTCTTCTTCCAGATCTGTATCATAGTCTTCCGGTTCTGGGACTTCCGCTGTGATGAGGTTATTGGCGATGGTTACCTCCTTAATTGCATTCATTTCAGCCTCTATCTCCTTTGACACTTTCTTCGCCTTCGCTCGCTTCCCAGACTTCTGTCCAGCACTAGTCTCCGAAATCATTTTTTACAGTCTTTGTAATCTTTACTGCTCACTAAAGATGTCTGTCGTGATGTTTGATTTCGCTATTTACATTTACAATCAGGTGTATACCGTTTTCATTATGCTCCTCGTCATTTCTTTCACACCTGAAAAGATGGATTTTTCAATTCAATTTAAAAAAAAATGAAAATTATTAATTTCCGATTGGAAGTTTAAACAGTTAATCGAAGCGTTAAAGCTGATATGTCCCAAACGAGAAGCAATTGTAAACGCATTGTAAATGTAAGTTCCTCCAAAGGTCTTTGGTCGCTCCACAACAGGGGGTGAACGGCAAGAGAAAGTATCGTGAAATCAATGATTGTGCTCATTTATAATGGGAAAGGTAACCTTTTCGGTGGTATACCCGTAAAAAATTGATCAATATCAGTACGGTTCTTAAACAAGATGTTTGATCGCGGTATTAGAGAGATAAATCATTCGAGTAGGAGCAGCCTTGGAAGATTTTGTATCTCAATAACCTCTGTTTACGTTCTCCACGTAAATCTTCCAAAGTAGTCGACTCTGTCTTATTGCAGGTGTCTAGAAGTCGTTTTTCTTCAATAGAGTTATAATGATACTCCCAGAATCATTCAAATACAAGTATTAGTCATTACATGTCAATACACAATTAAAAAAATATAAGATCCTGCTTATTTCACACGTAGTGCGCTATCTTCCAAATCTTTAAGCTTCTTTCACTAGCGATGTCATTGTAAAACTTGCTAGACATAATATATTTTTTATTACATTGAAATAGGAGGACGTTTTAATTTGGATATAATACTTATATATTTCTGGCTGTAATATAACGCGTTTAAAACTATCTGTGTTATCTTTGATCACCCAATTCTTTAAACCACTCTCAGATTTTGTGATTAATCATTACTTACCTCGAACAGTATCTTGATTGAACTTCGGATCCTTAGAAACAGGGTACGTGCTTGGTTCAATCAAATTTATTATTTTAAAAAAGTTTTTGTTTCTTCACCTGCATTAAGACGTCCCCATTAAGTGGAGAGTTACTTTGTAAGTGCGCTATTGTCCGCGAATCATAAGAGGCACTTCACAACTGTATTCATTCGCTGAAAAGATATTTTAGGTTTTCTATGGGAGGATTTTCTTATCCATTTAAAATTTTGATAAGCATTTTATTTTTATATCGAGCTTGTACAAATGACCCGTTCTGACAGATTAATTTCGGAAGGGAGATTTAGCCTGTTGTTGATTAATTTTTATAAGTTTTGCAGTTTCTTTTCAGGTCCTTCAAGAAGTATTGAAATACTCCCAGGAGAGATATCAAAAGATCTGGAGACATGCTTTATCGCAACTTATTCGAATGCTCGTCTCATAATTTTCGTAACCGTTCGTCAATACTCAGTCTTTTCCTGTAATTTATTGACCACTTAAAGCATTTATAGAAAGTTCAAAACACTTTATATAGATATTAAGCTATCAAAGTTTACATGTTCCGTATAAATACAAATACATCAACATCAGAATACCAAGTTGATTTGTCCTTTATACACAAATTGTACAGTAGAAAGAAACGAACTTTTCTTGACTTACACGTTTATAATTGACAAAAAGAAGACATGAAAACCCCTTACCATTCGCACGGACCTTCCTGTATAGAAGTTACTTTATTTTCCAACTTACATTTGTGTCCACCAGCTTTAAAATTCTTACCCTGGATTTAAGGGAACTCCGGTGTGTCTCACATAAAAGAAATATTTTTTCAAAGACGAAGAAAGAAAAAGAATCAATATTTTCATTTAAACTCTGTGGTCCTTCTCTGCTCGGCACGGACTTATAAGTAAACTCAGTTCTATTTCAAAGCATAATTGAACAAAATTAACGTATTTTTACGAAGTTTACAAATACAGTGACAACTAATTGGCAAATTTGAAGAAATTCTATCATCAAGTGTTCTTACGGGCGACACATATTTGTATTTTAAGTAGATACAAGTAAATACTAGAGCATTTGTTACGTAAAAATCAGGCTAGTTATATACGAGAGTTGGTTCCGAGCAATATTGAAAGTAATAAAAGGTGGAAACCTTTTCGAAATTAAACAAAACAGTATATTAAACTTTCTTACACAAAAATCAACCTAGGTTCAGTGTAAACTAAAATACCATGCGAACTCTACAGTAACTGTCAGAAATCGAAGGCTAATTCTTTGATAGTTTAAATATACTAAAGGAGACTCTTCATCAACAGAGGTTATTCTCGCCTTGTAGAATATAATTCATTCTGTAGGAAGGCATGACACAAGTATAACTGCTTTAGATAAAATCACTGATTGTATAGCAAACATAAAATGTACGGAAGTTGTACCTTTATTCAAGGAAATGGAGAGAATTCTTTAATCCTTTGTTATATTTACTTTTCAAACTGCAGGACTAGCGAAAATGTACAATAGATTATGACTTTTTCGTTATACTTTAAGACGGATAAAATTGTGACAAAAATTAATACATGGATGATAAATTAAAAAGAAATGAAACATTAAATGGTACATTGTTTATAGGTAATTTTCAAAACTACGTTGTTAAAAAACAATCTGATTGTACACAAAAGTACTCTGAAGTTTTAATGAAAAAGAAGGTCGAATTTCTAATTGATAATATTTATATGTTTTCGGAGACCAGGTCTTCCAACAATCTATTGACATTCCCATGAGTACCATTTACGCCCCGTTATAAGCAGACCTTTCAGAAAACACGTTGTGACCTTCAACTCGACATTTAGATTTATATGTATATCGACGACGTATTGTCAATTTACAGTAGTTACATGTATTTCCATTCTTATGTCTATATGATATATCCAGGTGAGATTGAACTAAAAGATACCACAGAGTTTGACACATTTGTTTCATATTAGGATATTTTTACCGGAAAAAGATGTTAATGGTTATCTAACAACAAAACTTTATGATAAACGAGATGAATTTAACTTTTCAGTCGTCAGCTTCCCTTACTTATGCATCGATCTACCTTTGTAACCTGCAAAGGGAGTTTATATATCTCTCAGTTGTTTCGATACGGAAGAGCAAGCTCTACGTATGAACAATTTCTAAAACGAGAAATTACTGAGAAACAAGTAGTTGAAGCAAGATTATCGGCAGTCTCGTTTAAAGCAACCATTCTTAAGTTCTATGGTCAATACAATGACCTTATCAGCAAATACAATAATCATTAAGTCAAATGCTGACTGACTTTTATCATACTGATTGTTGGGCCTTCATATACACACTGAGTTGTCCACGTAGTTTTCTTTTTTTTCCCGATCATGACAAGGAGTACCCTGCGGTTGACCGGTCGGTGGAGATGGGGGGTGCTCGCTCCTCCATGGCACTTGGTCCAACCTCTTGGTGTTTTGGAGATCTATATTTGCGCCGCTCCTATTTTGTAATCTTCAATGGAATTTTAGCTCGAATACTCTTAGATACCTTCACATATTTAATAGACAAATTCTTGTTTCGAAATAATTTTATATTATCTTTAAGATTAAATTCAAAATGTTCTATTGTCTTAAAAGATGAAAGGAAGGCAGAGTCATTCTGGACCTTTGTTTATAAAATAGTGTTGCTGTGCCGAGATAGTAGTCAGGGTTAACACATTATGCACAACCCAGTTGTGAGTGCACTATATGTCAAACCCTTACTACTATTATTAGTAATACAGCTGTATGATATGAATAAATGCAAGTAGTTCTTTTAAATTAAAACTGGGGTACTGATCACATAACTGTAGCCTTTTGATTGGGCGCTAGCTTCATAAGCCATGGGAGGTCACAGTATGATTATCCGAAGTTCATAGTGCCTTGCCAAATGTAAGAAGTTTAGCATAAATGTAGAAGTGATTTTTCCTTAGGAATTGTCTGTTGAGATCTTAAAAAAACGAAAGCATCTCTGGATCCGCGCAAGTCGTGTATAAGCGAGCAGTAATGTATATATTTTATTGCTTTTCACTGCCTAAACATTTTGCATTGAAAATCATTCTCAATGAGTGTCATCATCAATAACAACAACAACCCTCCCCCCCCAAAAAAAATCCTATGTATTTTCTCCTGTAAACCGCGTCTTACGAATGTCTTTTAAAATGCAGAATCTTTTATCAACACCAATTGTGGAAATCGTTGGTTTGTTGTATGTTTATGTCTTCCATTGGATTCGATACATAAGTTCTACGTGCAAATGTTTACAATTTCTAAAACGAGGTAAACTATAATTGACAAATAATTTAATAATATAAGGATATCAACAATCCCGTAAAAATCAACATTTTCCATATTCCATGGGCTATGAAATTATCTTGCTTGCAAATACAACATGTCTGACGTCTTTCATACTGTAAATTTTTAGAATATAATACATGAAGATAACGAACAGTATTCAAGCTCAAAAGTCCAAAATAAAATAGGAGCAGAGCAAACATGGACCTTCAGAACAACAGAGGTGGCGCCAGGTGCCATTGAAGAGTGAACATCTCCTGTCGACCGGTCACACTCGCAGTGTGTTCCTTGTCATGATCGGGAAATAACGGAATAATCCGCCGAGAATTCATTCAGTGTGTATATAATGGCCTAACAATTAGTATGAAAAACGTTAGTCGGCATTTGATTTGATGATACATTGTATTTGCCGACAAGGGCATTGTATCGACCATTTTAATTATGACTTTAAACGGAGACTGCTGATATTCTTGCTTCAGCAACTTATCGGTCAGTAACTTACCTCGTTTTAAAAATTATTCATACGTAGAGAATGCTCTTGCGTATCGAATCAACTGGGAGATATCAAGCCCGTATTGCTGCATAAGTAAGGGATGTTCACAATTAGAAAGTTGAATTCATCTCGTTTGTCACAAAGCTTGGTTGTTAGATTACCATTAACATCTTTTTCAAGCAAAATATGTAGATATGAAACAAATTTGTCAGAATCTGTGGTATCTTTCAAGCTCACAGGGAAATATCTTATCGACATAAGAATGGAAATAAACATTGTTAATTGACAATACGTCGTCGATATATTTAAATGTCGAGTTGAAGGCCACAGCAGGTGTTTACTTCTTTTCCCGTTAATATTTTGGACAAATTCTGATTCATATGAATACGAAAATAGGTCTGCTTACAACGGGGCGCAATTGGTACCCATGGGGATTCCAATAGACTGTTGGAAAACCTGGTCTCCTAATACTACATTGATACTGTCAATCAGAAACTCTACCATCTTTTTAATATCAACTTCAGTGTACTACTGTGCACAATTAGAATGCTTAAATTAAACAAAATAAATTTGCAAATGACCAATGACAAGGTGAGTAAATTTACAAGTTCCAATTTTGTTTATAAATAAAGCAGCTGTCAATGATATCAAAAAGCCTGGACTTTAATTTATCGTGGGGAATGGCTGAATATTTTCCGCATGCGAAAAGTTTCTACAACGAGCCATGTTATTGACAAATAAGTGATGATACCAAAATATAAACAATCTTCTTTAATTAAATCAATATATTTTGCAAGTTATGTCGATATTATGGCCTTCCTTGAAATTACAGTAAACTGATCCCTATTCGTTTTCTTCGCATTTGAGGAAGAATTTTCTAGGCATGTTAAGGTTAAAAATCCCTTTGTTCATAATGGTTGATTTAAAGAAAGGAGTACAGATGATATCTCTCAATTAAAGTATGTTAGATCTACAGTAAATTAAGAAGAGAATAAAATCATGATTCAAAAATGTGTTTCGAGAGATAGTGGATACTTTTTGTTATTCAAACTTATAAAATAATATACTGCATCAGTTCGGAAAAGCAGAAAACGTATTATAGATGGCTGAAATTCACACATGTCTAAGCAAATTATCTAAATAATAAACACATTTTACTACAACTGCCAAACTCCTATTCCTATCGTTTCCAATAAGATGCTTTTTAAAAATATATATATATATCTTAACATCCTATTAGCCAAAAATGATTTTCAATTTTTATCAATATGAATGTTTTAATATTCTCATTTTAAATTGTTTCTTTTACTTCACTTTCGTGATAATAAAACCTGATCGGATTTTCTTGATTATTGTATTTGGTCGAAATAACATATGTATGGATACGATCTACCAAGAAAATACTGATTTAAAAAAATGTTGGCCCAGAAATGACATAATTTTGCCTGAAATTAATAATCAAGCTGTTTAATATTTAGACTGGATGAAACTTTGAGAAAGAGTATACGAATATATGAGCTTTTCCTTACACTCAAAGAAAAGAACGATTTTTTTAACTTTTAAATTTATTGCAAGAGGACCAAGAAAAATTGCGTCTAAGGAGTATTAAGGTCAAAATCTAGTAAATGACTTTAGACTAACTTTTTGGTGCTAGATCCATTATGACGTCATAATCACTTTCAACTTTCTTTTTCCCGTACTTTACGGCTCTAATAGAATTATGTAGAAAATAAAGTATTTTCATGGAATTCAATTTGAAATCACCTGAAAAGTAGTCCGGATACCTATATTAAATTAAACATTATTTAAAAGAAGAGACCAAGAACATACAAATTACCGTTTTCTGAAAGACTGTAGGCAATCTGGATACATTTTGTTTGTGTGATATGGAAAAAACTCCCATATTCATGACTCGTTTTCTTAATTTTTCATTGAAAATGACAGTTTGAAATATGGTTTTTCATCTTATTTTCCTACAAATTATGCCCCGAAACACCTTTTTTGATCAAACTAAAGTTATAAAGCATCATTTAAGGAATTCATTTCTTGCATTTGATAAATCTGTAGGCACCCTCCATTTACTAGATCTTGACCTTAAAGAGTATAGTTTGAATATGTTTCATTGTTGCAAAATACAACATAAAATGGAAACAACGACTTGGAGGTATCTTATATTACGAAAAATACTTCTTATGGATTATCATGGCCAAAAAAAAAAAAAAGAATACTTCAACCAATTATTTATTGTGATATATTTTAAACTAGTTAATTTAAAATGTACATGTTAATAGTTAGCGTAGCGTTGGAAGTCGAAATTTCAATTTTTGATGAATTGTAACGTCTGTCAACAACTTCACCGAAGCGGAAAAACAGTATACCTGCTGACAATAATTCACAACATATTTTGTCTCGCATAACATACACGCCTAGAAGAGAATCACTACACGGTAAGACATAACAAAGTCATTTTATAAAATTTTAGTTTCATTTTAAATTACAAGTTAAATTTGAAATTGTATCCTTCCTATTCCTTAGATGTGTGAGACCGAGGAGTTGGAAGATTATGCTGAATGTTATCAAGACATTAAAACCAACTGTCAACGACTTATAGTTCTGTCTGAAGTGCATCGTGTCAGTTTTTATCAAGGACAATGTGGCAAACACATCACCTTAGGTAATATAAAACATAAAATTATTCCTGTACTTTTTCAAATGTAAAAAAGAGCGTCTGAATAAATAAAGCATAAAACAATTATTTTATCAAAATCAGATTTACATGAAATTATATACTCAAATATAAATACTCTAACTTTTTTAATCTCTGAGTTTTAATTATACGGTATACAATTATGTTAATCACTCAATGAAATGAGCCAATATTTCTTTTACACCCCCCCCCCCAAATTATTAGTATCCAGTGCTCTTGGACCACGTGATAGATATGCCACCATACAAATGACATATGAATTAAAACCATTATTTATATAACTTTTCAAGATACCTTTTTTGATTTTCAAATAAAAACTTCTTTCATCTACAGATGAAAGTAACGCATTTGATGTCCCACGACTGCATCAAGCTGTGTTTGAAGGTAACCTTGAATTTACTCAATGTATGATTAAAGAGGGACCGGACCCAAATCAAAAGCTGCAAGAAGGACCTAGATTTTTTCGTTGTGTTGAGGATGGACAAAAAGCGCTGTATGGTTATTTCGAAGGAACCACTCCTCTCATGATAGCAAGTCAGAGAGGACATCTGAAACTGGTCAAATTTCTTCGCTCTCAGGGTGCCTTAATATCGAAAACTGACAGTCTTGGCTTCAATGCCTTCTTACTGGCTTGTGGGGCAAATCAGCTCGATGTATGTCGCTACCTGCTCAGACACGGTGCATCTTTGGAATTCCGTGATGAACTGAATGGCATGACGCCACTTTTGATAGCATGTAGAGCAGGAAACGAAGCAGTGGCAAAATGGCTGATTGACAGAGGAGCCAATGTACATGCCTGTGACTTTTCCGGAAGAGGCACGTTGCATTTCGCTGCATGGAACTACAGTGTTTTTCTCATACAACTTCTCGTGTCAAAATCTGTGAAGATAAACGGGAAAGATCGTGACGGAAACACACCTCTTCATTTGCTGCTCTCTGATACATCACTGGAACCGACGGCTCTGGAACAAGTATTCGATCAGAAAAAGGAAGTCGAAACCGTCGAGTACGTATTGGAGAGGATGAACAAATTAAAAGACGGCGATCTAATGGTTGATTTTGGACTGACCAGCCGAAGGGGAACAGCTGACTTGATGAATAAATCAAATGAGAAATGGAAATCTCTCTCAGAGTTTATTAAAATTGGAGCCGATTCAAGTATAAAAAACCGAGAGGGGAAGACTCCATTACACGTCCTTTTACAATGTCTTCCAGAAACGTTCATTTCTAATGAACGAGTTGTGGTCTTCGAACCTAACCGAAACCAGGAGTTGCTTGTGCAGCTTCTTATTCTCCTAAAACTGGGAGTGGATCCAGAGGTGAAGCTTGGTGATGGGAGAACAACTATTGAATTGTGCCAATCGAGGAAAAATGCACTAGCTCTACGTATTTTGAATCGGTATCAAAATATCGTTAACGATACTACTGTAAACAGTCCTGTTGTAGATCAGACAATTGCCAAGTATCGTCAACGATATCTCCAAAAGCTTAAACAAATTGAAAACGAGATTGAGATGCTATCAGATATGGTTATTGAACCTTTACGCAAACGCTCTTTTTATGAATTTGTGTATGATAATTGTGTAGCCCTATATCGTTACGTGGACAGCATTGTCATTGGTTGAAAACCGAGTTATCTTTCTTGTATTGTTAATTTCTAGTACATATGCTTGATTTACAACAGCAAAAGTATTCAATACATACACTAAAACAAGTGAATTTTACAGATTTTCTGCATTTTAATGTATTATCAACTGCATTTTAATATTTAATCAACTGAGCTTAAAGCCATTTCTTAGGGTGTAAGAAAAATCAACTTAGTGGGCAAGAAGAACTAACTTTTAAGTAGGAGTGTTGTATGCTTATTGTTAAAATACAAACCATTTGTTTGCTAAACATGAAGCAGTGAAATATATTGTTTAAAGTTTTGATACCATCCTTAAAGCCTTTGGAAGCTTGAAATGCGTAATTTTTTGATCTTCTACCACTCAAACTACAGCTCAACGCACTTTTTAAACTCACATGGTTTTTCGCACAAATTAAGGTTACACTGTCATAATGCAAAATTGTGTAACGTGATAGCAAAATATATTTTAAAAGTGATTTATAATTTAATTTTGATCTTATTCCATTACTTTAAATATAATTAAAAAATCAAAGTACTCAGAAGTAGAGAGAGCTGGGCTCATTTACAAAGTAGAATGAATTTCTTACATAAATCATACGTTTATATTGTATTAACAGATAAATAACAAGAATATCAGATTAAAACTTCCGATGAAAAAATTATTTTAAAACTATCAATATAAATAATAAGACACTGACAGTGAGTTTGCGATCCTAATACCACGGTCCGATTTTGTCAGAATCAGAATTAATCTGGTACCGCAGCTGAATGTAAACAAACAGGCCAGTCTGGTTCCCTCTCCTGCTTTTCCTCGTATGTGTAGAGAGCTACGATAACACTGATTACAAGGTTAGCTTTTTTAAAAAAGCTGAGGGTCAGCCACTGGAATACAGAAAGTTTCTTTCTTGTTTTGTAATGGTTTATGATTTGATCTATCCATCATGTTGTGTTCCTTACATGTAATAAATGCCAATGTAAGAAAAGTTAAATTCTTGTAATCGTTTTCTTATTTGTAACATAATGCTGTACACAATAAATAATAAAACATAGAGTAAATTTTAGCTAGTCTGCATCGTGATCATTGCAATTGTTACATTAAAAGTTTAAATCTAAAGTTTAAACTTATCTATATCTATCTAGATAGTTATAGATAAGTTTAAACTTTAGATTTAAACTTTTAATGTAACTCACCCAGATAGCAGGATGTTATTGGACCTTTGTTGGGCCAACAATGCTCCTTATGTTGGGCCACCGTTTGTATTCAACATTGGGCCATCGGTAATTTGCTCATCGGCCCTTAATCAAACCAACTTGTTGGCTTATTGTTGGGCCAATGTAACAGTTAATATTGGGCCATTGTTGGGCTAATGTATTATTTCAATATTGGGCAAACGTCATTTTTGTACAATTGGGCCATTGTAAGCAGTATATGTTGGGCCAACGGTAATTTGCTCATCGGTCCTTAATCAAACCAACTTAATGGCTTATTGTTGGGCCAATGTAACAGTTAATATTAGGCCACTGTCGGGCCAATGTATTTTTTCAATGTTGGGCAAACGTCATTTTTGTACATTTGGGCCATTGTAAGCACTTAATGTTGGGCCAACGATAATTTGCTCATCTGCCCTTAATCAGACCAACTTGTTGGCTTATTGCTGGACCAACGAACGGATATTATTGAGCCATTGTTGGGCCACTTATTCTTTCAATATTAGGCAAACATCATTTTTGGGCCAACGTTGGTTTGTATCTTATTGGCTCTCCATCATGACAACTCATTTGCTCTTCACTGGTTGACCATTCGTCCTCAAAATTGACAAACAAATACATATATTAAGGTTATACTAGTTTTGTAGTACAATTTAATGGTAAAAGCCCTTTAATACTAGATATATATGCTAGATTAATAGTTTAATACATATTCTCAATATATATCTCATAGCATTAATTAAAAAACTGAGGAAAAAGAAATCAAAATATAAAATTAAATTATAACATACTAGTATTTTATTGCTCATTGCATGAAGAAAACATTAATAAAGAAATAAAAGTTGATGCTCACTTCAAGCGATACATGTAGGGTTACATGACTGTATACTCCCTCTCTGATGTAAATTTATGCACAAGTTAAGTAAATTGCTGGTATGAATAAGCAGGTCCAACAAATAAACAAAGCCCCCCTGTTCTTAAAATAATACTACAATGAATCCCGTCATTTTGTTTACTTACACAAAAAAATGTTTCTGGCATCTGCATCGTGTTTGTAACCGACAAACAGACACAAAAAACGATAGAACTACAGGTTTGTCACAGTATATAACAGAAAAATGCTAGACACTGCCACTTTCCATCTGATCCCTCTCCTAAGTCTTCTCTTCTCTCTCCGAGTCTCCTCCTCCCTCTTGTTTTCTTCTCTGTCCGTTTCTTCTTCCCCCATCCCTGTCCTTGGCATACCTTAGCCATTCTTTGATTGTGTTCTGAATGTCTTTTTAGAATCTCCAGTAGCACTAAAATTGTAGTATTTGGTACTTAATACATTTGTTACTTTTCTCAGTAAAGAGTAAACATACGATTAAATTTACAAGTATATCACTATATGTTTAAGTTGTCAATTAAGGAATAACCGTCTTTTTTGTTTCATGGTGTGATTAAGTGATTAGCTTGCATGATGAAGGCATTTATGCATAACATTTCTACGCTTGATCATCATCATCATCACAACGATTTTGATTCAATGTTGCCCCATATAAAATACATGTATAGAAAATTCGTTACACTGAACAAATTTTAATTGAAAGAACCCAATTTATGTTTAGTACTGAATAAATTTAGTTTTAACTTCAACAAGTTCAACATTTTCAAAATGTTTGATCATGTGCCCGACGTTAAGTGTATATAAGTAAATTAAGTGGTAGACTTCGGAAATGTATTTTACTAGTCACACATTTCAATCTAAATAAGGGGCAAATTATTTATTGTTTTAACTGTATCAAAACACATTTGTTATTTTATACTTTATTTTTCTTGCATAAAAACAAAACATTTCATCACTGATAATTTATTTTGTTTTGATAAATTATAAGAATTTTAACAAGCCTTGTAAATTCATTTTAGCAATCTTGTACTTTCAAGTAGGATTGGTTGTAGATTTATTTTTGATTGTAGAGACTATCAGATTTGTTAATACTGTAAAATCACATATTTTCGTGGGGTCAAATTTTCGTGGTTTGAGGAAAAAATGCTGGTTCATGGGGATTTGATTTCTTGGGTGAAGAACTTATAAGTAGTTGTGCATATGGAAATTTACATTTCGTGGTGGACATAAATTCGTGGGTCTCTTCATACAACGAAAACAACGAAAATTAAACCCCCACGAAAATTAGTGATTTCACAGTATACAGATTTGTAACAATTAAATGTTTATACACATTGGCCCAATGTTGGTCCAAATATCGGGCCAACTTTGTGCCTAGAAGCAAAATGACACTGGACCCACGTCATTTGCCAACATCGGCCCAATGTTCCTATTGACGTTGGTCAAACAATGTCGCATTTATCGAGCCAATGTTGGCGCGACGTTGGGCCAATATCTGTAGAAATAACACTCTACACTGGGCCAACGTTGGCCCAACACATCGGGCCAACATTGGGCCGATGAGCAAACTTAAATTGGGTCAATGTCATTTGCCAACATTGGCCCGATGTAACCGATTACATTGGCCAAACGTTGGCCCAATGTTATCATGCCATCTGGGGTACAGTGTTGACCCAACAGCACCTGGCCTCTGCACTTCCCCGTGTCTGCTTTGCGCAGATTTGTACATGATATTGTTTAAAAACTAAACCTTAATTCAGCTGTGCCGAGGCAAACATATTATAAATACTTACAAAGTGGATGCAGATATGCAAGGTATCAGTCTCATTACGCTCGCTCGTGTCAGATTAAAAATGGCGCGGATATATACAAGTAGCCCGGTTGTTGTCTACCCATGATGCTCAGTCAGCTTCATGGTATATTGGGCCAACGTTGGGCCGATGCCAATCCCCAAACAAATATTTTCTCTCATGATAATAATTTTATGATATAATGCGAACAGTTAGCCTAACATTAGCGCACCATTATACATAACCAGCTATCGATATTCCATGTTGGGCCATTGTTGGCCCAATAAAGGTAACCCAACATAGATAATACAACCATAATGTAAGATTGGGCCAACGATGTTCTGCTATCTGGTTTATTACAAATAAATATAAATATACAATTTTATAATTAGCTGCTGAGCTTTACGTTGGGACAACGTTGGCACATTCTGATCATACTTTCTATGTCCATGCTTATCATTGGATGACTGCTCTTGTTTAGATATGATATTTTCAACATGTTAACTTTGCACTTAGGTGATCACAGCACCAAAGAGTGTTTTTTGAATTGTGTTTATGCTTGACACCATCAATTAATTGGCAGTATAATAAATGGGCCTACGTTGGCCCTATATAAATATCCCATCTTTTAAACACCTAAACAAAATAACACTTGTGTGTATTACAAACATTGTGCCAATGTTGAGCCAACATACTACTACCAACTTGATAGGACACGTTCTTTAAAGGTGTATTAGAAACAATGGGCCAACGTTGGACCAACATAATACTATCAACTTGATAAGACATTTTCTTTAAGGGTGTATTAGAAACATCGGGCCAACGTTGGGCCAACATACTACTTGAACTTGATAAGGCACTTTCTTAAAGGGTGTATTACAAACAATGGGCCAAGGTTGGGCCAACATAATACTACCAACTTGATACGACATTTTCTTTAAGGGTGTATTACTAACAATGGGCCAACGTTGGGCCAACATATTATTACCAACTTGATAAGACACATTCTTTAAGGGTGTATTACAAACTTCGGGCCAACGTTGGGCCAACATACTACTACCAACTTGTAAATACACTTTTCTTTAAGGGTGTATTATAAACATTGGTCCAACGTTGGACCAACACCAGGATCCTTCCTTCCTTGGGAACTAAACTGAATGGAAGTTGCCTACGTTGGACTAACGTTGGGCCAACATAGGAATTTTGTCATGGTCAAGAAGGTTGGCTTGGTAACATTGGTCCAATGTTGGCCCAACGTTGTTCCCCCAACGCCAACCATACAACCTTTTACATATGTTGGCCCAACATAGTCATGCTATCTGGGCAATGATCTCCAATAAATTCTCTTCAAGGCAGACGTCAGAGAAAGTTCATCTCATACCGGTAAATGAACAAAAGCCAACATGGCAACTAAGATCAGGTTGAATTCTAT